CTCATGAGTGTCCGATTCTAAAGTGACACTCGAAGCTTCTTCAAGTTGTTCAGTCATGTTTCCTGAAGTCCTGAAAACAATCAAACTGACAACAACTAATGCCACTAAACAAAACTAAAGTTATAGTAAATATTAAACTTAGTTTGATATATTTTGGTAGCTCTATTTATTCCAGTAAAAATGTTTCATTGCTTTATAATAATCTTAAAAGTTTGTAAACTTGTTTAACACGGTTGTATATGACATTTGATAAGCTACTTACTGTCTTTGGTCACACGATGACTGAAGAAAGCTCATTTGCTTGTAATATACATTAAGGTCTTGTCTTGCTATTTGCTTCTCCACTTTTTCCTCCCTCACTTCTGAGATATTTTAGATAACTATCCTTCATACTCTTCCACCGTTTTTGAACTTCTTTTCCTGTAAAATTTATGGCACATTTAGTTATCTTTTGACTAATTATTATTTCCATTTACTGAAAAAACTTACATTCATAAGTAATTGTAATTGAAATATTTTTTCTAGGTATTTAGGAACTGGAAACTCTATTCGCTCTCTGCACTTTGAGTTTCTACTTGGACGCTCAACTATTTCCACAATAATTCGAGAAACATGTTTAACCATCTGGAACACGCTTAGAGAAGAATACCTGTCAGAGCCTACAGAGGAAGAGTGGAAAGAAATCAGTGAACAATTTGAAAAAAGGCGAATTTCCCTCATTGTATTGGCGCAATAGACGGGAAACATATTCGGGTCATGAAACCATGGGGTACAGGTAGCGAGTTTTTCAATTACAAAAAGTTTTTTTCAATTGTACTTATGGCCGTAGTTGACAGTAATTACTATTTTAGATATATTGATGTAGGATCATATGGCCATGAGGGTGATTCCAACATATTTAAAGCAACAAACTTTGGGAAAAAATTATACAACAAAACTCTGAACCTACCAATGTCTAAGTGTTTATCAAATGATCCATCAAAAATACCGATGCCATATGTGTTTGTAGCAGATGAAGCGTTTGCAATGTGCGAAAACCTAATGAGACCATACCCTGGTAAGAACATGACTTGGAGAGAAAGAGTATTTAACTATAGACTGTCCAGAGCTAGGCGTTATGTTGAATGTGGGTTCGGTATACTTGCCAACAAATGGCGTATACTTCATCACCCAATTGATGTAAGCATTGACTTGGCAGATGTTATCGTACAAGCTTGTTGTGTGCTACATAACTTTGTCAGGCAACAAGATGGGTACAATTTTGAGGACACACTGTCATGTCCATTGGAGTGTGTTTCACATATCGGAACAAGAGGGAATAATCTTGGTATGCAGACGAGAGATCACTTCAGATGTTATTTTTGTTCAGAAGAAGGTGCTTTGCCTTGGCAAAACCGTTATTACTAAAATGTATGTAAAAAGATGGAAAATTGTCTAACCTAATAGAGAAGAAAATATAATCATGTTGTTTTTTACGCTGTGAAAACATGTAAATATGTCGTTTGGTTTTTAGCATAGGTATATTTGTTTTATTTAATGTCCAAAATGTTTTTTGTTCATAAATAAGTAGCCTACAAATACACATGGAAATTTGCCACCTAATAGAGAGGAATATATAGTATGTTGTTTTTTGAAGGCAGTTAAAACTTGCAAATATATCTAAATTTAGTTTTTAGTATATGTCCAAGGTTTGTCTTTGTTCATAAATAAAGTACTAATACTCACCTATGTGTTCTTTAGTCTTATCGTCCATAACTTCCCACTCGTCTCCTACTACGTTCATGCAGATATTCACCCACGCATTCCTCTTCAGCTGCCGATTTTTATAATCTTCATGTCCGTAGTCGTAAAGACAAGGATTTTGTTGAACCTCCAAAATAATTCTCTCACTGTCTAGGTAATCCATAACCTTGGTAATCAATCAATAGCAGCACAAATACTACACAAAAGTAGCAGCAACAATTATCGACACGTTACAACACGACAGTGGATGGTGAAGTTTAATTATAATCAGCTGTTCAGCTGTTCAGCTGGTACAACAATTAATTATCTCCTTTTAGTTGCCTTTATTTTTTACTATCTGCTGTTGTGCTTTGCTATGGGAAAAGGACGCGAAAGAGGAACATTTTTAATTTTAATGACTACTTTGGTTTATTGCTACAGTAAAGGTAATGAGGTGTGTTCTTAATTTAATTGTTGAAAACTTACTATGAAATAAAAAAAACCTAAATTTATTAAAATATATCCATAAACAGAAAAACTACAACAGTTTATTTATTGGCCATAATAATAACATGATAATTTTAAATGTACAGTTTTCGAATTATCTCCGTAACCGTTAGGCGTACAACGCTTCAAAGTACAAAACTATTTATTTTTTAAAGCTCTATTTTTTCGGAAAGAAATTGTAAAATGTTATGTTTTAGAGTAAAAAATAGGAAACCGCAGTTTTTGCCTCACTTCACACCAAAAGCCCCCGTTCCCTTTGTCCGATCAAGCTGGTTCGCAAACTCGTTAGAAGTAGTAGGTTTATGTTTGTACTAAGTTACATTTAAATTGGGTCATTTTTGCTCTAGTTATCGTGATAACAGAAACACACAAACAAGTATTTATATATAAAGGGTTAATAGCTTATTCACTATATGGGGAATTCACTAATAGTTAGACATCCGATAACGGTTTAGAAACAAAATTGGTGGTGCTGATGCACTTTAACTATCTACAATGCAATAATGTAATACAAATAATTAAAAAAATTCAAATGTCCTAATAGTTGGAGTGTCGAAAGTCAATCATAGAAGAAATGATCATTAGTCTTTAAATAAAACAATAAATAATGGTGTTACTAAAATTATTACTTACTCTTACAGTAGTAGTAATAAATACTTCCTTTATTAGAAAAAAATTGGTAAAATGGAATAGGTTCTTAGTATTTCAAAGCATATTCCAAACATAAATTAGAAACAAAATATAAAATATCTAGTGGAAAATTCCATTTCTTAATTCATTCTTTTTACACCTCCAACCCCCCCCCCTCGTAGACTTCAAGTATTTATTTATACTTTTATATTGTTCTTATTAAAACATATTGTTTATGTCGTTTAATCCTTATTAACCTCTTCAAATCAGCTGTGTTTCAGTTGTTCTAACCTTTGTTTACGTTTTGGCGAAGTGAGTCGGTTGTGCGAGTTTCAAGTCTTGTAAAATGCATTTGTAATGTAGGTATACAACTAATAATTTTTGTTTGTGATACCTTATACCGTATATTTTGAAATAATAACAAATATACACCAATATATTACCAGATAAAAACACGATCGTTAATTTAATATCCGTACTCATTTGAGTACAAGTCTCAAATGTGGCACTATGCTTATTGTACTCATATGCGTACATTGCTCAAACGTGGTTTAGTTGCATTTTTTAATGTACCCATATGCGTTATTTGCTCAGATGAGTCTTACTAAAGTAAAAGCAAATAGAATTGGCGGGTCAATATCGTGTTTTGAAATAGGCCAGCTGGTATTATTCACCCGCCAGTTCTATTTGCGTTTACTATAAATATAAGTTTATTACATGTAGGCCTACTGTATTTTTGTACAAATTACATCGAATGTTACTGTTTGTAACCGATAAATTGTGATTACAATACAAATGCATTTTACAATTTTTTTTTTATTTCTAGTGGTTTTCAGTGTTTTCAAAACATGGATAGACATTTGAACTTAGCAAATAAACACAACATAATAAAACACATTTTAACAAATTTAGATGACCCAAATTCATCAGACCTAGAAATTGATGATTGTTTAGAAGAAGATTCAAATGAAGATCAGAATGACAGCCTACCTGAGTTTCAATCACAGTTATTTGATGATTTACCAGATGATGATTTTCAAATACCAGGAGCTACATTTGAAGCAGACAATCTTAACAACTTTCAAGAGGAGGATGATGGAAATATCACATCTTCCGATACCACAGAGGTAATAAACCATAATTTAAATTTTTTGGACATTGTCAACGATGAAGGTGTTTCAATTCAAGAAGGTGGACATCAAATAAACGGTGAAGGTGTTTCAGTTCCAAAAGGAGGAGATGAAATAAACGATGAAGGTGTTTCAATTCAAGAAGGTGAATGTGAAATAAACGATGAAGGTGTTTCAGTTCAAAAAGGTGGATATGAAATAAGCGATGAAGATGTTTCAATTCAAGAAGGTGGAAGTGATATAAACAATGAAGGTGTTTCAGTTAAAGGAGGTACGTATGAAAGAAACAACTCGGTTGGTGATCAAAACAATGCAACGTCTAACATAGTAGTACTAGATACACTGTCCATTTTAGAGGCAAAGTTGCCTACTAACCAAATTCCCTCTAAAACTACAATCCCAAATGATCTTGTGACATCGTCAAGTTTGCGGGATAAACCCACAATGTCATCAGGTTTTGGCAAAACTGTAAACCAAATTCTCACAAGTATTCCAGCCTCATCTGACCCAGCTATCGCACAATGCTCTTCAGGCACTGAACCAATTCCCTCAAGTTCTCAAGCTGGATCCATTTCAGATAGGCCCAACAATAATTCTTCCAGTCATGATAAGAAGAAAAAAATTACAAATCAGCGAAAATCTAAAAAAACCAATGTAACTCCCTTGCAGAAAAACAAAGTCAAAACTAAGCCAGCTGCTACTAAAAATAAAAAAAAGTAGGCCTGACCTTCGTAGTGGCCAACAGAAGAAAAAAAAGTTGACTATCCTAAATGGACCCTAAAAGATAATGATTTTATTAATAACGTTCCTGAATTTCGTGGACGTATGACTTTTAATTTAAGTGAACCTCATGCTACTGAAAGCCCATTGCATTTCTTAATGAACCTTTTCCCAGAAGACATTTTTGATATCATAGCAAGAGAGACAACTCGTTATGCCTCACAATGTGGAGATCCAGAATTTACAACTAGTAGTGATGAAATCAGGGTGTTTTTGGGAATTAATATAATTATGACATACATACACTACCCCAACTACCGGATGTATTGGGCATCATTACCTTCACTCCGGATGGACTTGATTGCCGATATTATGCCCCTAAAACGCTTTGAAAAAATCAAAAGGTTCCTTCACTTTGTTGACAACGATACTATTCCTAAGGATAACAAAGACATTTTTGTCAAGTTGAGACCGGTACTTGACATCCTTGCAAGAACCTTTCAGGAAGTAATGACTCCTCCGGAATATTTGGCAGTGGATGAGGCTGTTATCCCATTCAAAGGGCGTTCACGAGGGAAACAATACCTAAAGAAGAAACCCAAAAAGTGGGGATTTAAGGTTTGGGTATTGGCTGCGTCCAATGAATATGTATCCAAATTTGAATTGTACCAAGGAAAAGGAGATGAGGCTGGAACAGATCTTGGTATAATAAGTGATACGGTCCTAAGAATGTGCTCAGGAATTGGTGGCTTAAACCACAAACTTTTTCTTGATAATCTGTTTGTTAGCTATAAGCTTCTAAAAAGACTGGTGGAAAATGACATCCATGTTGTAGGAGTAGTAAGATCTGACAGGCTTTACGTAGCCAATTCTGTCCTACCAGGGGCCAAAGATTTTTCAAAAGAAGAAAGAGGACAGATGAATGTTGCTACTTCTGAAGACAATATTACCATAGTACAGTGGAAAGACACAGGAGTGGTTTACGTAAGTTCAACGTATGCAGGTATCGAGCCCAAAGATAAAGCAGAGAGGTGGGACAAAGTGGCTAAAAAATACATCATGGTGGACAGACCCCACTGTGTGGCCATATACAATCAATTCATGGGAGGAGTGGACCTCAGTGACAGGATGGTTGCTCACTACCCTCATGCTATGAAAAGCAAACGATTTTATCTTCGGATTTTCTTAACGTTGCTATGGTTAATGCATGGATTGTTCTAAAACTAAAAACGTCATCTAACATGTCATTCTTGGATTTTAAGGCAGCCATAGCGAATGCCTTGATTCAGACCACTCTGAAAAAGAAAAGGGTTGGTCGACCACCCACTAATACACCACCGTTAAAAAAAAGATGTCGACCAGGTGTAATAGGCGATGTACGTTTCGATGGTGAAGGGCACTATCCTTCAAAGAGCGTTCCAGGGAGATGCCGAGAGAAAAATTGCAAGAGCCGAACAAGGTACAAGTGCAGTAAATGTGAAGTTCCTGTGTGCCCTGAGTGTATGGCGAACTTTCATGACAGAAGCCTTTGACTTAGCCTACAGTTAACTTATGCTGCTGTACAATGTACATAAACTGATTCATGTTTTAACTATTGTAACTAACTACAATTGTTTATGTTGATTTTTTATTTTATCACACACTAAAATTTTCTGAAATTGTTTATGTATTAACTTGTTATTTTTAGATTGTCTGTTTGTGTTTTATGCGTTTAGGTTTTTATGCTTTTTTCATATAATTAGGCCTATAGCAAATAAGAACATTCATATATTTCACTTTGTACACATTTGTATTTTTGGGTTTATCATCAGTAAATCAGTTATTTTGTTATAAAATAAAATTACTTTTATTCACTTGCACTTGAACTATTTGGATAACTCCTTTACAAATGCTTATGAAATAGGTTGGTTGAATTTTTTTTGATTAAAAATAGTAATATTTTATAACTGTATTACTGTTAAACTTAAATACTATATTAGTATTTTACTTTACTGTAGTACGTTTGAATATATCATTGTATAGAAAGTCTGATGTAATGTAAAAGTTAATGTACTCATTTGTGACCATGAAGCAGAAGTGGGTAATGTTCTTAAAATACAACAGGCCTACATATGTGTTGTGTACTCATTTGAGTACATTAACAAATTTATTAATAATTTACAAAGTAAAAATAAGAAAGTTGAAAAAGGTACTGCCAGGATCATTTTAGACATAAACCAACCAAAAAATAAAATTATTATAAGTTTTTAAAACATTCACCAAAAAACGTCCCTGAAGAGGTTAAAGCAAGTTTGATTTTTAGATACTAGATTTTTTTCTTATTTGACGCCATTCAGTGTACATTACACATGTACTCATATTTAGATTATGTGCATGTGTCTCATAAAGATTATTTACTTTGATCACTCTTAATTCTTGATTTTACTCCCAGAAACACCTCTAAACAAGTCTAAATCTTTAATTATAGCAACAAACTATTTAATAATTTCAGTAAGGTCAACGTGTTTGGGATAATACGTGTTTAAGCAGTTGGCTAGATACAAAATAGTTTACACTTTTCAAAAACAAATTACATTTTGATTCAAACGAAAATAAAAATACCATGACCACTTGAGTGACGCTGCGTGTTATTCCCGCCCGTGTGGCCAGGGAATGAGCGTGAAAACAAGCTTCAAAAATGCACCCCAGTCCATTCTTCTGCGGGCCCGCGGCGGGTGATTTTGCAGACGCGCCTTATCTGCGTGAAAATACACTCCGTGTGGCATACCTCATGCCACCATAATGCTGTCCATATTTCTCGCGTTTTTTCACGCCGCGTTCTTGCGTGAAAAAACGCCCGTGTGGCCGTAGCCTTAGGGAATGACTGGACCTGGTGCGGGAACAACTGGACAGGGAACTACTATCGTATTTGATAAATTTAATATTTCCTTTGCTTGAGATGCATTAGTCAATAATTTTTTAACCTCTAGATAATAGATTACATTGTGAAACATAAAAATATACTTTGATAGTATCTTTTATGAATTTTGGACGCAAAATTATTATAATTACTTAAACGAACAGAGGTGCTCATTTCTCCTTATAAGCTAAATAGATAAAAATTCAAGAGGAAAAAATCATAAGACAGAAAAAGAATACTATAAAAAACTGTTAAATCTATTCTTAGAAAAGACTTTATTAACAATGGAACTTGACACTTTCAAAAAGCATGTTTATTATCACCATCACCAAGCAGCTGTTGTGAAAAGCAAAATGACTGCCCTAAAATCGGGAGAGATGATTTTGAGAATTTACTTCTCTGAAAATTATCTTTAATAACCTCACTAAATTCTACACTAGGCTAATAGATGTATACTATACCAAAATACATTTTCATTTTATTATGAGGTCATAATTTTTTAGTGAAAGATGAAGACCTCTAACCTCTGCTGGACGAGCTAGATATAAGTGATGTGGAAGGGGTATCTGATGGAGATGAAGACCCTACTCCACTACAACTGTGCTTTAAAGGGATCGATTTTGAAGATCACACGGACGGTGACCCTACGTTTGATTTACTTAATGACACAGAGTTTGGCAGAATGAATTGCCAGAGCAATTATAAGGAAACGATTATATTAGATTTAAAAATAATCTGTATTTAAGATGCATAGTTATTATTTTGTTTATGTATTTTAGTTTCTTTTTCATTGTAACATTTTTTATCTGGCTCGTCCTCAATCAGCGTAATATTAAATTCGGCACTGAAAACGCCAAAAAAATTTCAAAATTTTCAAATTTTTTAAATTTTTAAAAAAGTGTTATTTGTTACTTATATTGTTATAGAATACAATACAAGTGATGAAAATGTAAAAAAAATTGTAGAAATATATTTTTTAAATATTTTTTTAGAATGTCGCACTGCAGCTGGTTTGCAGCTGGTTGTTGGCTGCTGTGCTGTTACCACGCTGCATCGCTCGAATTTTGTCAACTCACAAAATATGCTATAACTTCAGTGCTATTTATTTGTTTGTTATGATTAAAAATTTAGGTTGCAGGATAACATCTCCTCTAACTAACTGGGTAGTTTTACTACTGCAAGTATATAAATATATATTTTTTTAACAATTTAAAATTTTTTTGTAACTTATATATGTTTTATCTGTGTACGTATAAGTTTTTAATTTATTTGGGAACATACATGAACTATTCTACCTAAAAACGCAGAAAATAATATCCTGCACATTGTCTAGAAAAATGAATCATGTGGCTCGAATTAGTTTTTGAGTTATAAAAGATTTTATTCACACGAGTCGCGTACAAAAACTAGCCAACCGTTGGAGTTTTGATGGTAAGACTTTTTATATTGAAAGGTTTGACTATACCTTTATAACAAAAACTGTGTGATAGTTTTTATATAGTACTTAGTTTTATAATGTTATACATGCACAGAAATGTTGTAATGTTGCCTACCCTGAATGGTCAGCTGGTTGACAGTAAAATAAAAAACATGCTTTGTCTGCTGCATTGTTTGTAAATACTGTGTTGTCTGAGTTGTCAGTGAGTTCTGTGTTTTTAGTCTAGTCAAGATATAGAAAAAACCCCCTTAACCTTAAAAAAATTGCTCTAAAAGGTTTTTTGATGGTTTTCATTTCCAAAAAGTATGTTAAATAACATACTAAAAGTCTAAAAAAATCGGAGTCTCGGAAATTTGGTTTTTCCAACATGGCGTCCAAAAATTAAAAAAAATAAACCTTACTATTTCCCCTGTAAATTTTCTTCTGAACCTCCAATTTACACCGAATTTGGTACAAACCTTTGAAACTGTATTATCTATAAACTATTTATGATTTAAGATAAATAATATACAGTAAACGTGTTGTATGGGGTTGAAAATAGGTAAAAATCTGTCTTAAGTTGTTAGTAATAAATAACTTATTTCAGTTTTGGACACTATAGGGAACAAAACTTTTTATCCCTAGTCTGTGCTATACCCATGTTGTAAATCCTTAAAAAATATATGCAATTTAGTATTCTTAATCATTCAATTATCTTAAGTGGTGGTGGGATAGTTATAAAAAACTATGTAATTCTTATGGGAATTCTGAAAATTACCATATCTTAATTGTTAGTTGGTACGCTTGGATAACAATTCATCGTGGCCTGTATCGTCTCCACAGATACAAACACACACATATTTGTCATAAGCGAATTCTGTGTTGAGTCAAGTAATACAATTTGTTTCAATACTTTTTTTACGCTCATTCAATTCTTTTATTTTGTAATAGTTCACAAGTAGTTTATAAAAAAAATATATGTATAATGTTAACAGGTATATTTTGGTAATACTGTTGTTAATCAGCTGTTTTTAAACTCCACAGGATTCGCTTCCGCTCGTTCAATTGTAGTTAAGTAATAAAACACAAATAGTTAATTACAAAAATAATTACATGTATAATGTTTAAACACGTTTATTTTGGCAATACTGCTGTTAATCAGATGTGTTTTTGACTTCATATGATTCCAATCGTATTGTTGTTCATGTTTACAGTTATTTAGATCAAATTTAGTCTAGTCAAGATATGAAATAAAACCCCTTAACCTTAAAAAAAATTGCTTTAACAGATTTTTTGATGGTTTACATTTCCAATAAGTATGTGAAATAATATACTAAAAGTCTAATAAAATCGGAGTCTCGGAAATCGGGGGTTTTTTTCAATATGGCCAAAATTTCCAAATTTCCCTAAAATATTTCCATAGACAAGCAAGCTTTAAGACTTTATTTATTCTCCATAAGAATAACATGGTCATTTTAAATGTACACTTTTTTTTCTCCGTAACCGTTAGGCATACAACAACGCTTCTGTATACTAAATTATTTGTTTTTATGATCTCTTCAAAATGGTTTGGAAATAAATTGCAACTTTTTACAGTGAAAAATGGGAAAATCCCATTTTTACCCCGTAAAAAATAGGAGATCTTAAGCAAACTCAATTTTTAGGCTTAACCTAGACACAAATCTTAAATATACACAAATCATAATACAAAAACTTTCTTCAGGGTTATATGTTTTTAGGCCAGTGTCACTAATGTAACCTGGACATTCTAAAATAAAAATATTTTGTCTTATGGTCTGGCAATCTATGGAGGAACGCCCAAAAAGTTTAGATACAGTTCTGAAACTCTAAAAATGCTATAAGAATCATGCTACACTTAGACAAACGAAAACTGTAAAAGATCAA